GATTTAACTGAAATTCAGCATTGTAATGTTGATGAAAAAAATGGGGTTTTGTAAAGTTAACTGCATCTTCTTCCATTTGATGTAATTACAATTTATTACAAGCTCAAATCTCCTCTATTTTTCCTCTGTTTTTTTTTCCTTTTTATTTTTGGGAAGAGAATTAGGGTAAGATAGTGTTGAAATGAGTGAGGAGAGAGAAAGAAGAAGAAGGGTGAGTTGAAAAAATGGTAGAAAATGAAGAAAGAGAAGAATGATTGAGTAGAAAGGGCCGGATAAACAGGAAAAAACAGAGTGTGGATGTATGTGTGTTTGAAAAGGGTTTAAAAAAGGGTAAGAATTTGTGAGTGACATTATCTTTTGCCGTTGATTTATGATTGTTGATACCACTTTTGGGGATTATACAATTTTGTAATGCAAAATGTTTTTTCTTGCTTTTTGAATATACCTGGGGTGTGTGTTCATGGGTGAGATTTGCTGCAATGGTGGAAAAAAAGTGTCTTGGGATTCGTGACAGAGGATATTGCTTTCGGTATATTCTCTATTTTCCCTCTAATTTTATGGTAATTACATTATGAAAATGGCGTGTTTTTTTTAAAATAAAGAGCGATTTCCATACATAATGTTACTCCGTATTATTTAACATTATTAAAGAAAAGAAGTCTCATGCAAAATATTATTTGCGCTATACCCGTGGGCCGTGGGGACGGTCGTGTAAATCAAGCTTGTTACAATATACTCTTATTGAGAACCCCATTAAGTATTGCTCTAACATATTTGGCAAAGTACTCGCACTTCTCTATAACACACACGTTTTCCCGATCTACACTTGCTTTCGGTTGGGTATAGATTTTAGCATTGAAGTAGGTTTACAGTTTACTCGGTCAATCTCGAGGTCCTCTATTATAGAGCATTATGATATCCAGAGTGTTTCTCCCATTGTTTTGAAACTTGTATAACATTTAGATGAATAAAATATATACTAGACCAAAAAAAAGTTTGCAAATATTTTAGTCATAGACAATTGTTTAAGACAACACTAAAACACTATTTATTGTATTTTGGGTGAGCGGAGAGTGAGAGATAACTCAAGTGGAGAGCTTCTCTCTCAAATTCTCTTGAAATCAATTTCGATTCCTTGATTAGATCTCAATATATGTTATGTATATAGGGAAATGATGGCTAAATAATCTCTCTAATCGTCAAAATTTATTAATTAGGTGACATTTTTTATTATTAAATTAAAAACAAAATTATAAAGTAGGATTCAAATGACTTATTATAGTACTAGAACAATTTAATTGAGAATTTTACATATATACTATTCCAATATTCTCAAATCCGTACTTTTGATGTTTAACCAAACGACCACGATTACAGTATTGTGGTCTTCTACACTTGTGAACACTTGTAAGTTATTAAGAAACTGAAAGCGTGGAAGTGCAGTGTTTAAAACTGTGTTAAGTCCTACTTTTGGAGGTAGAAAAAGAGAGGGAAAAATAATGGCAGGCCACGAAGATTTCATCGAAGCTGAAAATGCAGAAGCAATCATCACTCGAATCGAGCACAAATCTCGCAAGATCGAAAGCTTGCTCAAACAGTATACCAATTCTCTCTCAATTTCTTTTTTTTTTTTCAACATTTCAATCTGTTTTTGATCAATTTCATTTCTAATTCTGGGTTTTAAAAATTGATTACAATAAATAAGGTATAAACCAGTTGAAGCTCTTAAAACTGCGCTTGAAGGTTCATCTGCCATTACTAAAGATGATCGCTGCAAGGTTAGCTATCACATTTTGCTTTTGATTTCATAATTTGATTGTTGTTGAAATTTCTAGGGTTTGTGATTTTGGATTCGAATTTTGATTTGATTGTGATGTTTTGCTATTAATATACAGTCGGCGAATTGGATAGCGGTTCATCGGGCGATAATGGCGATTAAAGATGTTGATGGGATGCTGGCTTCTTTAGATTCTGAGTATTATGACATTCTCATGAAGTATGTAACTTTCATTTTGATCTTGGGTTTCAATTTTTTTTGCATAATTTGTTGGTTTCTATCAGTTCTTTGATTAGGTGAATTTATGCATTTAGAGTTGTTGGTTAAAAGATGGATTTTTTTGCGGATTTATTCCAAAATGCTGGTTTTGAAAGCACTTAAATGGGTTGTTCTTGAACAAATTAGATATTTTGTGCAATTGAACTTTTAGGTTTAGTTGGAGGAACTCAATGTGCATATCTGGGATGATTGGAAGGTGATTTTGGTAATCTCATGTCCCCGTTTCGTACATGGAAGGGCTTTCAAAGTTATATTGAAACCAATGGCAGATTTGGATGTTGTCTAATGGATATGCACTAGAAGAGTTTTGTAAAGTAGTTTTCTTTTCGCTTGCTAGATGAACTTGATCAATTTGTTGTAAAATATTTTGCAATGGGTAGACAGTTGCTTGACATATTACCCGAGTACATCATAGATGTGTTTATGATTGCAAGGTGATTTTGTGGTTCTATAACTTTTATTATTTTTTTGGGAGGTGATTCATTGATATACCTTGTTATAGAAATTTGTGATGTGTTTGGGATCTCATTTCTTCCTCTATGTCAATTAGGAAATTTGTAACAGAAGCATGCTGAAATGCACTCCTCTTTTCTGAACCTTGTTCATAATTAGATCCATGAGTCTTTTATAGCTCTATGTATGTTGGTATTGTCTTAATTGAAATTTGATGCCAGAGGATAACAGTGGATTTAAAGCATGGTTTTGTTATAGTTTACTCTTGGAAAACAGTTTAGTACCTGCAATTATTAATGATTAGGTTCTAATGAGGAGGAAAAGGAGGCCTTAATATATGATTGCATACCAGCAAGGTTGTTATGGACTAGCGATTGTAACAGTTAATTTGAAGAGAATTGTGGATTTAGTTAAGGGAAAAGCTTGAGTATTTCATTGATTAATGTAAGTAGGATAGTAATGGCTTGAGGCCATTAATCTCACAGTGTAGCTTGAGGCTACAACTCTCAATTACAAGACACTTAATTTCTGGATGATTTTTAGTGCTAAGTTTACTACATACTTATACTCAAGACAACTAAGGATAGATTCATGTGATTAATTAGCCAAAATAGCAAAACCATAATTAGACATTGTAGAGACTTGTTGCTTGCTTTCCTCAAGTTCTTCTTAATGAGTTTTGTCATCTTGCTCTTTGTTCCTCAAGCCCCCCTTCTTTCCTGCTTTTGCTGTTCCATGTGTTTCAATTGCTGCAACTTGACCATAGAACAACCCATTGACTTGCTTGTCAACCCTGGGCCTACCGGTATAGACTTGTATGGGGTGGGTTATGGGTTGGGTCGTATGATTCAACACAAAGGTTGTAATCTAATGTTGCATATAATTTACAGGCTTTGCAAGGTTTTTTCTTAGAAAGTTGTGTTTGCAAATTCCTCAATTTCTTCTTTGGTATTGGGTATTCCCTGTTACTGGATGTTTTGTTGAGAACAAGTGATTTTGAAAAGCTAGGAAATGGAAGTCTCTAAATTCTTAAACCCCATTTCACATATATCACATAAGACAGGACATTTGATAGATGACATATTAGGTTCTTTACCTTCAATTATCATTTTGTAGTCTAATAAAGCACAAGGGAATTAAGTCACTAATTGACTTGTGCAAAGGAAAAAAATAAAAACTTCAGTCCTTTGAACTAGGTTCTTGTTGTCTTGGGCTCCGTGGTAGGAAGTAACTCAAAAATTTGTTCTTCCTTTTTATTTTAGGTACTTATACAGAGGTTTGTCAACTGGAGATCGTCCAACATGTGAACAGTGCCTCAGAATACATGAAAAGCTGACTCAGAGAGCTGGTCTAGGATGCATACTTCGTTGTCTTGCTGATACAGCGAATACAGTGTGATTCAATTTAAGATAAATCTCGCAAGACTCACACAAGAGGACTTTCTGATTGGAATGGTCTTACGCCCACCCTTGTGCATCTCTTTCTTGGAGTATAGATATGCAGAATTGCTAAGATATGTACATATGCATATGTCCTTTACTCTTTTTCTGGCAGTATTCTGTCTCACCCCTGTGGAACTCAAAACTTCTAAGCTCTATTCATTATATATCAAAGAATACATTCCTTTAGAAAAATGTTTCAGATCATCATCTTCATCTAAGATCATTTCATGTAGATTTTTGTTGTTTATATGACTGACTCACATCTTCTATGTGTAAAGCGGAGATTTGCTCTGTGGTGCTGAGAGTTTTAGATCATGCAGAGAAGAACTGGAGTCTTTGAGTTACTGTTTGGTTTCCGGACAATAATTCTATAGCATCACTTATCTACTATAGAATAAGAATTCTGAAGCATAAACTTGAGTATAATTTTCATTGACCCAATCTCTGGTGTTTTTCCCCCCTTTTTTTTCGTCACTGTTTGGTTTCAGTATACGAAATCACAGCATTATTAGTTTTGTTGTTGATCTGGGCTAGATCCCTGGATGATAAGGTTATTGGTACACTTTGGCTTTGCTCTTTTCACCTTGGAAAACAAACTTAAGAGAACAGAACTTCAGATAAGGACCAATAAGTCTAATTAGAGCTTCTCAAGATCAACTCATAACCAAGTATAGATACCTTCAAATTAAGGACTCGTGTCTGAGAAGTTTAGATGGGTGAAAACAGAAGCTTTTGTATTCAGTCCAGTTGTCTAATTATTAACGATTGGTGTCTATCAGGGTAGAGCTTTTGTTTTAATTATATAATGATTATATGGATGTCAATTAATTTAGGCAATTAAGTTTCTTAGAGATATCGAAAACCTCATGTTGATGAATCATCATTATCCGCGAAACCGGATAAACTTATTTATTTCCCACATGTTCATGTATTTTAATCATACTGTTGAACTGTGAGCATGTCAATGCGACATGTCCCAACACAGCTATCATTTTCAGGTGATTAATCCAAACAAGAATACAAGGCAAACAGAGAAAATTGCTGCATGAATCAGACAATTTATAATATACTTCCATATCATTGTATACATCATTATGTCATTAAAACCTGAACTAGGAAAGTTGTTCTCTTTCAAACTAACTACCTACCAACTAACTCAAATGTCCGAATTTATCATGCTTTTATAACATTAAAATCTCATAAGTTTCAACACCTAAGTCAACTTTGACCTTGAGTAAATGTATATAGTATAGCCAGCTGCTACATTTGAACTTCTAAACCAAACTAAAGCTATGAATTACTTCATACTATGATCAAGGCTTAGAGGATTCAATCACTTGATTGTTGTTAATTGTGAAGGAGAGCTACTGTATGGTAAGCGGTGTACGCTGGTGGAAGACACCCAACAGAGAGCGTCCTGTTTCACCAGCCGGAGTTTTGGTTGTGGCGGACGAAGACGAGAATGACACATTTTTGCATGAAGGGCACATTGTGAGGGTTGTAGGAGGGTGGTTTGCTTCCATCATAGAATGTTCAGGAGAGAACTTCAAAGCCCTTAGCTCTTGCACCTCATTTTGTAGCCTCTTATTCTCTTCAGTTAAAGTCTCACAGTACTTCTTTAGTTGCTCACAATCAGACTCTGTTTGCTTAAACTTTGTCCTGAATATATAAAAAAAAATTCGGAAATTACAGCAATATTAATCGACTAATCGTTAACAAAATAACAACTTAACAATCATCGAGAAAAATCCGTAATTTTTTAAATAATTATAAGTTACGTGTTAAAAATGATATATGCAGCCTTAAGGATTAAGTATAAGAAACAGAAGTTAAAATCATTAAACAATAATTACCCGAGTCAATTTTTAGTATCGATCGACATTTGTCATAAATAAATCATGAATGTTTTTGATTCAATAACTGAAATCATCAATCAAATGAAAACAAGTGTACCATTCTTACATTCTAAGTAATTAATTACCAACATACTTGTACGAGCCAACCTTCAAAATAAATTTATGAACCCATTTTCATTAATTTATGACGTTTTATATAAGAAACTCTGCATTCATAGACAAAACCATAACGTTCAACAAATTAAATACTTTAAAGATTTTTTTTTTTTTTTTTTCTATATTTACAAATCATATTATTTCTTGTCGTACAAATATTAATTTACATCTCATTTCATAAATTATTTCAACCAATCACATGGTCAATTTCATTTCACTTTTTTGGAAATAAATTTTATGGATTAATAAAAAAATGAATTGTCTAAAATTTGACATAACAATATAACATACCTTGCTCTTCTATTTTGAAACCAAACTTCCACTTGCCTTGGTCTAAGATTCACTTCTGTGGCCAATGCCACCTTTTGCTTCTGAAAATTCAATGAAATTGTAAAAACATGAATACAATATTAGTTGACTAATTTGGTAAAATATCATATATCCAAGAAGATATTGGAAAACATAATTGTGAGTATCGAGAATGGTGCTTCGTGATATCTGCTATGTACACTCATTCACACGTATCATGTGTGGTTATCATATACATATATATATGATATGTCAACCCAAATTCGACATTCTAAGCACATCCAAGTGTATCATATAAGCTTTGAAAACATGTTTATACATTCGATCTCAAAACGACCAAGGACAATAATTTGAAAATTAATTTTAAGACGTACCAAATTACCAATGATCAAATTATAACAAATTTATTAAATTACATAAAAACAAATAAAAGTAAATAAAAAAGAGAGGAAAAAACTGACTGTATTAAGGGTGGTATGTTCACTGAAAGCCTGTTCTAAAACCAAGATTTGTTCCTTGCACAGCCTAAGCTTCTTCCTTTCACCACCAGAGCTTTCGCTGCCGCCTCGGTTGCCACCTTCTTCTTCGTCGCTGATCACCTCTCTGTCTCCTCCAAACCTTTTTCCGGTGACACATGATAAGGTGCTCTTTGGAGAGCCTACTTTGCTTGTTTTTTCTTCTTCCTCCAAATCTATTATATCTATTGGTTGTTTTGAAATCAACCCTTTATTAATCCTTGGTATTATAGCCAATGTATTATTCAGTGTGTTCATTTGTGGGCTTGTTTCATCTGTGAAAATAACAAAAATAATAATTCTTGTAAAATTATTTTAATCATATATTCAACGTTTAGCACTAGAGGCAAGATTCACAAGAAACGTACGTACTCTCTCGGTTCCTTAAAGATTTTTTTTTCTTTACGACTTAATAAAAAAATGTTATCTTTAATTTTTATGTAATAAAAATTCTAACTAGCAATTTCTTCATGCAATTTTTGTTCTAGAATTAATTAAGGCATCAAAAACATTTAAAAGCATTATACAAGTATATCAATATTTTTTATATACATATACACATATAGACACTCTTGAATAAAGATATATATATACTATATAAATAGCACAAATGCACAATTACACAAGTTTTTTTTTTTGACATGATTAAATTATTGTTTTGTAAATTGAATAAAGAACAAAAATTTATAGCACAATTACATAAAAATTATTTTTCTAGAATTATTATATTAATATTTACAAATAAAAAGAGAATAATTTACCTATGGAAAATTGGGATTCTCTCTTGCAAATAGGCTTATGATCAAGATTTGTGATTATTGGTGGTTTTAAGCTTAAACTCAAACCCCAAACCTCACATTTATCTTCTTCATTCATCTCTTTCTCTCTCTAAACTTTCTCTCTCTAGTATTTTTTGTGATTTGTTGTTGGGTGTTGTTACAAATAAAGTAGGCAGCAAAATGAGTTATATTTATAAGCAAATGAGAAGAAGGGGGCAGCATTCAATTATGAGTCTAAATAGGCTCATATTCAGAAGTTGTGTCCTATCCTATGGACTCTTGTGTTTTGGGTGTGTTTAGGTCATAAAGTAGATGTGGCTCATGTTTTTTCTACATATAAACCACTTTGGACAGTATGTAGACGGTATTCAATCTCGAGTCTTGTATACTACTCTTTAGACTTAATAGTTGGTCGTTGTCATTTATTGGCATATAAATATGTAATCATAGAACTTTGACCATCAGTAAATTAAGGAGTAACCGTAAATGAGTCAAACTTACATTATTAAACATAAATAATGATATACTCGTATTAATGACACAATTAAATTAATATATTGATGAAAATTAAAGCTTAATGATATAAGCGTTAGATAAAAAATTTCCTAAAATGGTACTTCGTACTTGTAAAATTTAAAAATTCATGACAACAACACTTGTGGATCAGTGTGATTAATGTTTATTTATTCTTATATTTCTTTTTAAAGCTTTTTTTTATATACAACCTTTGTTTTTAAGCTTTCTATATGCAACTCTTACTATGCTTTATCATTCTCCAAAATTAGATAAATTAAAATTTTAATATATATATATAATGTCAAAAGTCAAATTAAAACAGTCGAAAACACGGATATCATCAAACATGTCACCTCTTTCACTTTTTCTTTGACTAATTACTTCATGATTGTAACTCATGTCCTATAATTACTTGCCATTATTTATCTGACAGTTTTTCCAAACTTATAATTAAGTTGAGTATAATAATCTTTAAAAAATCATAACTTTGTTACCATGGTAACTTATTAGTATGTCAACAAAAAAAACTTATTAGTAAGTACACTACATACGTGGTACAAGTGATTAGTTAATTAATAGAAGTTCCTTTTTGTTTATTGGTTTTTGGAAACAGATGAGTAATAATTTGGAGTTAATTTTGATTGTGTGAGAATGAAGGAGTCAAAATGAGTTAATTATTTTCAAAGTTGTAAGTTACCATGGTAATAGTAACTATGTAATTGCATTAGGTGCGAAAGATTGAGTTTTTTGAGGGGGTTTCATGGCAGGAAACATAATTAATGCTAATTTTCTTTATTCAAACTTTCAAAGCTACTATTAATATCCTTAATTTTGGTGATTTGATGAACTATATCTTGGAGGATATGGTTGAGAATTTGAGATTTTTCATGGGTTTGATTAACATAAATATACCCCTAGATTGTTTTTTTCCCTAATGGAACATGGTTTTTTTGCTACTTGTGGATTTCAAATTTCTAGTACCCTATATTATTCGGTGTGGGATATATTTACTAAATTCAAAATTATACTTGTCGGTAATGAATATTGTCTTGGAAAATCTTCTTATTTCTTCATTTGTTTAATAATTATTCCAATGAACTTCGTTGAATATGCTTCATACATACCCCGTCCCCAGTATCGACCTTCTTTTCAAAATTAAATGCTCATCAAACATATTAACTAAACAATTATATGTCACGTTTTAATTGTAGAAATAATCTTGAAATTTGACCAAAATCTGTTGTATAATATATTTGTCATAAATGGAGTAATTAATTAATATTATATATAATGCTACTAATTTATTGTGTATAAAAATAATTTTATACAAAATTCAACATGTTTTACGACATTATAAAATTAGTTTTTTTAATGGTAAATCAATCAATTAATAAATAGAAAGTCATACGACATCTATAAACGATATTCGAATTTAACAAATACATAACATGGAGTATTAAATAAAAAATTTCCTTCATTTATTTAAACTAATTATATTAACTTTTTTTTTTTATGTATTAATTTTAAAGTCTAGATATGGCTTGAAAATTACTTTGTTTTTATTTTTCATAATTAAAAGTTATGGTTTTATGGTTTTGAAATGGAAACTTATCTTTGTTATTGAATTACTAAGACTTTGTTTGATTGGTAAAGAGTTTTTTAGATAGCTTTTAGCTTATTGATGAGGCTATTAGAGGTTTGATCAATTGAAAAGAATAATTTGAGTGTTTGGTATATAGCTTATTAAGAAAGCTTTTTGGCTAAAAAAACTCTTTTGAATAATCTCAAAAAGGAGATTTTTAAAATTAACTTATTAAATATTTAACTATTTTTTTTCCAGAGAATTTTCCTCAAAAAAAAATAAAATAAAAAAAAAAAAAATTCCAGAAGTGCAACTAGTTCTCCACAAAATAAGTGAGGGGTTTTGCGGAGGTTTATCGTCTCTTCAACATTCTTCTTCCGCTGTCTGCCGCATTTGTTTCTCTATCATTTCTAGCAATTGGGTATTTTTGAATTGAAAACTTGAGATTGAAATTAGGGTTCTTCATCAATTTTAGGGTTTTAATATGGGTTCTTCTCGAAATCGATTGAAACGAGCTCCGGAGTCTGATAGCGACATGGGTTCTGAAGAAGAGGATGAATTTATGAACCAGGTAACAAATTTTTTGACTAATTGTAGTTTTTATGCGGTATGGTTTGCTAAATTGATGTTTAATATGTTGGGTATTAGTCAAATTTTGATTTGATTGGTTTTTGAATACCTAGGTTAGTGGAGATGAATTTGAGGCATCGGATGATGATTCAGATGGAGAGGAAATTGAGGAGAGTGATGGCGAAAGCGAGGACGATACCGAAGGCAGTGAAGAAGAAGAAGAAGCTGATGATGATGATGTTGGTGTGTTAAGTGCTGGAAAGAAGGATGATGAAATGGAGGAGCTTGAGAAAGAGTATAGGGAACTTCAAAATATGGAGCAGTATGATTTCTTTTCTTGAAAACTTGGATGCTTAATTAGCTTGTTACTGTTTAGAAAATTTAATGCGAATATTGTGATTGTTGTATGTGGATAATTAGATAAATGTGATGCTTTTATGTTGGTTTTGTATACTCAATTCTTCTATCTTTCCTGCGTGCCACTTTGTTTTTATGTCCTTTTTTTGTCCTATGTTTTGTGTTATTGGGAAAGATTGTATTGGACTGTAGGTAATTGACACATGTAAAGTTTGAAGTTCTGTATCGAATATTGTAACGATTTCAATGGCGAAAGAGTCAAGTTAGACTTCACCGATTAACCACTTTCAGGGAGGCTCCATCAATTTGCAATGGAGTGGTTTGGTGGGTGGGAGGGGTGTGTATGTGGGTGTGGGTAGGGGTAGGGGGGGGGGACTTGTGCTCATTTCTTATTTGCATGTTAGTTTTGTTCATGTTAAAGAGATAATTACCTGCTCAGCTGTTCTTGTCAACTTGTTTTCACTTGAGCTATGTTGAATTTGACGTGTTCTCATTTTAGCTTATTTTTTTTTTGGGTTGCCTGTTTAGGAGTTTGATTCAAAATTTGAAGCGACACAAGGATGAAGATCATGTGAAGGGGCAAGCTATTAAGAACCAGAAGGTAGTTATATATGTACATCATAGCTATTAGCCTATGCTGTTATAATTTATTTTTAGTTGCTTGTTTCTAAATCTCTATTCCCTCTGTAAACATGATGTTAAATGCTGAAAGCTATGCACATCTCTTTATTTCACAATTCTTGCCTGATTTGAACTCTGCCTTTTTGTATTTGTTTCCTAGGAATGATTGTTTTTTTTTTTCTTTTTTTTTTTCTTTTCTTTTCTTTTTTTTTTCTTTTCTCTTTCTTGTTTTTGTGTGGAGGTGTGTGTGTGTGGGGGGGGGGGGGGTGGAGGGGGGGTGTCTCTTACTACCAACTAGATTACTATATATGTTTCAAGTATTGTTACTCATTGTTGAATTATGAATGTCATAGATATGATAATTACTACTTCGTATACATGTTTCAACTTTCAAGTATTGTGACTCAATGTTGAAGTGTTAACATCATAGAAATGATAATTTGTTGCTGTTATAATTTTCTCTGTGTTCTTGTAGGCTCTTTGGGATAAGGCCCTTGAGCTCAGGTTCTTATTACAGAAACCGTATTCTAAATCAAATAAGCTACCACAGGTAATTGCTCTCATGTAAATTCCTCTTAATTAGTTGATAATCCAATTTGGAGTTCTGTAGTAAGTTATTGCTTTGGTTATAGGAACCAATTCGGTCATCATTCTGTGAGGCAGATGAAGATGTCTCTGCTGCATATTCAGATCTCATTGCATCATCTAGTGAAGCAATAGAATCCCTTGTGCAATTACAGGAGGTATTTTCTTGTAACACCTATTCATTTTGATACAAAATCTAGCAATGCTTTATGAATCCTTAATAATCAGAAATTGATCACTGAAAGGCGCTTATGTCTTTGATGCAGGCTCTGCTTGAGAATAATCCTTCCATTGTTGAAGCCACAGAAGGTATATTTTAGATATTATGTCTTTGCCCTACTGATATGCATTGATTTTAAGCTTCTGCTCTGACCAGTAATAATCTTGTTAAACCAAGAAATTAACATGGTTTCTGGAAAACTGTCAGGATACAAAGTACTAGTTGGGCCTTCTACCATTATACCTACTTATTCAAGGGACATGGGTCATGGGTGGTTTATCCCTTTTTTATTTTGGTTTTGGGGGGGGGGGGATTTACCTTTTGAAAGTCACGCGTAATCTTGTTTTTTCTGTTCCTACTTGTTTTTCTTTGCTGGATCCTCCTTCTGTGAAATTCTAGTTTTGAAACTATTTTTGGTTACCGGCTACTGAGTGGGATAGTGCTGCATCCAAGAAGTAGAATTAAGTAGTGGATTAATGTCCTGACTTGTGAACATTCTGATCCCTCACAAACTTAATGGAGATAATATCATATCTTGTGATGAGAATGGTTTCTGATGTTCTTCATCCATGCTTCAACCAGAGCACTAAACATGACTTGTTCAGGAAATTTTGGTTGTGCTATATGTGCTTACCTCAGATTGGCCTCTTTTTAGTTTTTAATTGCACTTTCAGAAGCTGGTCCCTTCTTCTTTAGTGGGATATGAGAGGATAGATTCGAAACCCTTGAAGAATCACACTTGATAATTGATTGATATGGCATGTCAAGTAGCATTGTGCTTTTGTTCATAGAACACTGTGTGCAAGGTTTGAATTGATATTTGGTTAATATCTTTCTCTCTTTCTTACTTTGTAGTTGAGTTAGTATGGCCTATGTGGACGATATCAACCAAAAGAGAAATACTGAGATGTTGCTGACTATCTGTTCTTTACACTATTCTTTACTGCATGTCTAGTTTCATTGCTGGAAGATATACTGTTTATACTTAATTTGGTGTGTAAATAGTAGTTCTTTTGTATCTGTTGTTATCTTTTCTTTATCTCCCTAAATTTTTTAAAAATTGTTTTTCAGAAGGATCTCTTAAATCTTCTGAGGAAGTTGAAAATATTGATGGTAATAAAGAGATAGAATGGTTACATATATCTCAAGCGCAGTCAAGGTATCATGCTTTTCTCATCTTGTTAACGCTTGATCAATATATGTTGTATCCATTGCAGTTTATACTTTTGTTTGTCGCTGCAATTAGTGTAAATTGAAGGCATCATGTCCAATTCACTGGCAATAGCATTACTATTGAAGGGTGGTGTTTTGGCCTGGTTGGGGCCTTGTATGGAATGTTTTGTCTTTAAATGATAAAATGCTGAGGAATGTGGATTATAATCACTTAAGACTAACTGTTTATATTCTAAATTTAAATATATTATTTTTTTCAAAGTTCTTTTTTTTTTTTTTTAAAAAAAAATAAATTTAATTGTTACAATTGCTTATGCAAGTCCCTATTATTGCCAAAACTATTATGGTCTCACACTCATGAGTCCTTCTGTAAAGCTATTGCATATGTCTGTTATATCATATCTTTTTTCATTTTTCTATGTCATGTCTTCCTCCACATGATACCTTATCCTCAAACTTGTTAAGTTTGGACAACTCGCTAAACTTTATTTGTTTTATATCTCTCAAATAAGTTATTAGGATTTGACATTATTCTACTTATAATATAAAGGAAATTTTGATTTTTACCACCTTCAAATAACCACTTAATTGAATTTACTACCTCTAAAAAAAAAAGATTTACTTTACCACCACCAAAATTTCCAAAAATTCGATTTTACCACCAACTATCGGATTCCGTCCATGAATCCGTTAGTAGGGCCCACATTTTTGACGTTTCTTCTTCATCTTCCCCGATCTTCCATGTCAACCAACCAACAACAAAATCAACTACCTCGGTTGGTCGGAATTTCGTGTGGGTTTTGCGTCTGGGTGGTGGTGGTTTCGGGTCGCGATGGTTTCGCGTCTGGGTGGCGTGGTTTCTGGTCTGGGGTTAGGTTGGTTTTGGGGTTAGGTTGGCTGGGGTGGATTGCAGTGGTATCGCGTCTTAGTGGTGGTGGTTTTGGGTCGCGGTGGTTTCGCGTCTGGGTGGCGGTTGTTTCTGGTCTAGGTTTGGATGGTGGTGGGGTTGGTCGTAGCTGTTAGGTGGTGGCTAGGGTTTTGAGGTCGGAAATTGGAGGAAAGGGGTAGAAATCGGTGCGGCTGTGGTGTGCGGTGGTAGCGGTTAGGTGGTGGGGTTGGTCGTAGCTATTAGGTGGTGGATAGGGTTTTGAGGTCGGAAATTGGTGGGAAGGGGGTCGAAATCGGCGCGGCTGTGGTGTGCGGTGCGGTGGTAGCGGTTAGGTGGTGGGGTTGGTCGTAGCTGTTAGGAGGTGGCTAGGGTTTTGAGGTCGAAATCGGTGCGGTGGTTGTGGGTCCCGACGGTGGCTGGTAGCGGTTAGGTGGTGGGGGCTGGTTGTAACGGTTAAGTGGTGGGGCTGGTCGTAGCCGGTCCGGCGGTGGGGGTCCCGACGGTGGCAACAACCACCGGTTGCTTGATGGGGATTTTTTTTGTTTTTTTTTAAAAACTTAACCAATAATATGGCGACACGTGTGCAAGGTAGGCCCCACTAACGGATTGTTGGACGGAATCCGTTAGTTGGAGCTGATTGGTGGTAAAACTGATGTTTAATTTTTTTATGAGGTGGTAAAGTAAATGTTTTTTTTTTTGGAGGTGGTAAATTCGATAAAGTCGTTATTTGAAGGTGGTAAAAATCAAAATTTCCTAATATTAATTATCATTACATACTCTGCAAATGAATTCTTTTCTCTTGTGCTATGGTTTGTAACAAAATTTTCAAGAGTTAGAATCACCATCTTAGCTAGTTGAGAAGGACTCTATTGGGCTAGTGGAGTACAGGGAGCAGGGCTTCCATTAGGTTGATTGGAAGACATTTTAGGGTTATATACTTATATCTGCATCATGAATGAAGCTTTAAAGTGGGTTTGGACTTTGGAGGTAATCTATTGAACAGTAGGCATGATGGAACGACATCACTATGAGCGTCAGGGCTGGTGAAAAAGGGTTTGGAGAAATTTGTGGAGGCTGTGTGAAGGTTCATTACACGGTGTATTTCTAGTAATTAGTGCTTAGTGGTGGGATTTTGGGCTATCAAATGTTTCTATAGTGCTTTTTAGTAGAATTCTAGGTAATAGCTCAGCGATCCAATTTCAGAATTTTCATTTTTATTTTTGGGTAAATAACTTTCAGGAAAGTAGTGAGCAGGAATAGTAATTATAAGTATTTAGCTTGGAGGAGTAAGCAATTAATTGCTCTACAAGTCTACTGTTGCACTTTATGGTGACGACATTCCTGTTTGGGCTGGCTTCTTAATTTTATTTTATTTTATTGCTGTATGCCTGTATGGTGAAAGAGTGGATATGATATGAAGAGACAGGTAGCTGTCATGTATAAAAATTTGATATTATGAAGAGACAGGTTGCTAGGTGGTTTTCCCTACTTGCCGTTCTTGTGGAAATCTGTGAATTCACGCCCTCAGAGGCTCAGATTAAACACCATTTTATCAGAAGTTCATCAATATATTTGTTGATTGAGTACATAATAGTTGCATTTATACTTTATTTTTTGTATTGGTTGAATACTTGAATCTGTTGGGATGCTTGTTCTTGTTTACAGTTGTCTGTTTCCATTGTGCTATTTTTATGGCTTTTAATTATGTAAGCATAATTATGTTATCATTATGGAGATGAGCTGTGGAGTTACATAAATCTTTGCATATTTTATTACAGAGTAGCACCATTCAGAAATAAGTCAGTAGATAAATGGCAGAGAAAAGCGGATGTCCACAGTGGTGCTGCTGCAAAGAAAGTAAAATTGTTGGCCTTTAACCAGGTAAGTGTGTGATTACACTGGAAGCTATCATGTGTTGTGGTTACATCATCTCTGAATTGTATCTCACTCATCTTCTGATTGTAGAATATAAGTGACCAAGTGGCAATGTACATGAGGGATCCAAGTAAAATGATTAAAAGTATGCAACAGAGAAGAGAAGCTGTTAATGTCTTTGGCACTGTGAGTTTTGAATTTGATGCTTTATATCGAGATCCAAAATTGTGTGCTCTATCTATTATGTAAATTTGATGTTGATCCTTACACGGCAGGTTGGTAAGCAGGCTGACAACACCATTGAGGAGGTAGTCTCTTAGTTTCTTACTTCTTTTCATGGTTTTGGTTCTCAAGTCCAGTCTCTTATTACATGAAACTCTTTATGGGTGGGAGGGGGAGGCATATAGGGGTCGAGGCTTTTAGCATTTATTGCCAAACTGGACAAAATACCAACCTCTTTCGTGTTCTTATGTTTAGATATCTCGTGAAGTGTTTTTCTTATTGTCCATTTAGACGTGATACTTGTGAACGAGAATTTGTTTTGACATCCTAATTAAGAAACTGTGAGGTGTGAATTTTGCTCATACAACATACAAAAGACACACGCACTGATGAATGAATTCAACTTGGCAACTAAAATGTGCTGACCATTCTTTGACATGTTAAAATAACTGGATGCTCTTTTAAGTTTAAATAAACACCTTCATCCATATACTTGTTCTGTTTTCATTATTGGATACATAGGATGACCTCTTTTAATATGTCTTGTTGAAGATGTCACAGCTAAAATTGATCAACAACCAAGGATCATTTTGTTGATTTCATAATTTCCAATCATCTCCTATCTCAGTATTGACTGAATCTCTGTACTGGGTTCATTGTCGCCTCACACTCTTTTATCAATTAGCTGCCTTCAACATGACAGATCTTCTAGCATCATTGTTTGCCAAAGTTCAATTAGCATACATGTTTAGCGGTCTGACATGTATCCTATCATTCATATCAGGCCTTTTAATGTAGGATGATTGAATCTAAGCTCTTATTTTTTCCTGTGAACATGAACAATTCTCATCTCTGGTAAAGTGACTTATTATTTTCTTTCAATTAGGGAATCATTGAGGGAGACCCTGAGCTTCTGGACGACTCTGAATTTTATCAACAATTGCTGAAGGAGTTCTTTGAGACAATTGACCCATCATCCTCCGGTAAGCTCCCATATCTTGGTTTCCAATAGCTTAACTTTGCACGAGTCCTCAACTTAATATTGCTCGTATTAGCAAGTCTTTAACCTAGAACTGATTTTTGCTGATATTTGCGTTGTTTTACTTTGCAAATTCTTGGACTTGCACCACCTCTACAAGAAAGAAAAGTAGAACACTAAATAGAAGATATGTGTAATTTGGGACTTATAAGTTCAATTTAATTCAACATTTATTTGTCAATTTTTGGATTTAATTGACAGGTCTGATGTTGATTATCTGCATTAATGTCTTCACTGTCTGCCTCTAAATGTGAATTGACTGAATTCTAATAGCATCAACAAAATGATCTTATATACTTTGTATATAATTACAACAAATCTCATGATAAACTCTGCAGAGTCAGCATTTTATGCTTTGAAAAGGCTACAAACCAAGAAAAGGAAAGTGGTAGACCGCCGAGCTTCCAAGAGCCGTAAAATCAGGTCTGTTTTTCATGTAGCCTCACTTTTTTATGTTACAAAATGATCCCCATAAAACTTAATTTTCTTGTTTACTTTGTTGCAGGTACCATGTCCATGAAAAAATTGTCAATTTTATGGCCCCTGAACCAACAAATCTCCCCCCTATGGCTCCCAAGTTATTCGAGAATCTGTTCGGGTTAAAAACCCACAAACCTACGTCTGCTGCGTAGAATATTTAAGTTCACTTTACACAGGATAGCGCCCCATATATTCAGCCTTTATCCTTATTTTTTGTGAGTTAACAATTTAATTTAGCAATGGGAAAGTTTATTTATAAGCTAAACTTGCTTGTGCTTTTGAAATTTTGTTTTGATTTGCTTGCTGCAGTGCTGGGCTTCAGAATCATGTATAATCATAACTTTAACAGCAAGTAATTACACTAATTATTACAGAGTAGTGTTTTTGGTTCAATTAAAAAAATAATTATTTAACACTTCTTACATGTAAATGTTTTGATAATTAAAGGACAATGGACATCATATCGAAGCAAATCCATATTCAATTTCTCAATTAAAGAACCAGTGAAACAGAGATGCGGAGTACATATTTTTTACTCTAATATTGTGTTAAATTGAAGAAATGTGAAATGAGTGTGAGAAACCTTAAAAAGGAATTTGCCTTTGTACAAGGTAAAACAACATTACATCCCAAAAAGAATAGGTGATGAAAGTTTTCTTCTAACTTGCACGCTTGAAAGGTTTATGATAAAACTTGTGTATTTGTAATGACATGAAGTAAATGCAAGTACTATTTTTAGAGCTGTGAAAAGTTGACCAAACCCGAAATACCGACTCAAACCCGATTATTAATCGATCCATCTGAATCCGAAAAAATGGTGACTCAAAACCGACCTAACCCGACCTAAAATCAACCCTAGACCCGATTTGACCTGAATATGTGATTTGACCCGACCTAAAATCAACCCTAGAACCCGAACATGAACTGACTTGGAGATGACCCGACCCGCATGTAACTCGTAAATTATTGACTTGAACCAAACCCGACTTGAACCGAAATTGACCCAAATCAGTTTTAACCCGTCAAAACCCGAATTTAACCCGACTTGTTACTAACCTGACCTGAATTCAACCCGACTTGTTCCTAACCAGACTCGAATTTAACCCAACCTGTTACAAACCCGACCCAAGATTAACCCGACTTGTTATTGACCTAACCCAATTTCAACCCGAGTTGTTATTGACCCGAATTTTACCAGCCCTATTACTAACCCGACTCAAAAATTCAATCTGATGTGTTACTAACCCGACTAGAAATCAACACGATTTGTTATTGACCCGACCTAAATTCAACCCAAATTGTTCCTGACCCAATTACAAATCACCTTAAATGCAATTTAAACCACCTTATTATTGTTGATCAAAGCATTTTGTCTAGGGAGACCGAGGCCAGCAAAAGAAAAGAGAGTCATCCTCAAGCCTACCACGAACATTTAATTTATAACAACAAATAATGATCACATGTGGTTCCAAATGGCATTATATGACCTCGAGATATATCCCCTAGAATTTCAAGACTTTTCGACACCGGGCCTCGAAACCTCCAAAATTTCTCAAAAAACGTGGATATTAGCCTTCAATTCTGACCTTTTTTCGTCCGGATACAAAAATTGCCGAAATATTTACCAGGGCCCCAAATACCATTTGAGAGTCCAATTGGGTGGATGGAACTATCCAATTTGCCTTTAAACGACCAATTTACCGGTTTACAACTTACACCGATTTCATTAATTCAACCCTACCACGAACATTTATGACAACAAATAATGATCATATATGGTTCCAAACGACATTATATGACCCCGAGATGTATCCCCTATAATTTCAAGACTTTTCGACACCAGGCCCCAAAGACTCCAAAAATTCTCAATAAGCGTGGATATAGCCTTCAATTTATGATTTTTTTTTGACTTTTTTTCGCCCGAAAATAAAAATTGCCGAAATTTTTACCATGGTCTCTAATATCCTTCGGGAGTCCAATTGGGTGGATGGAACCAACAAATTTTCCTTTAAACGATCAATTTAATGGTTTAAAACTTGCGCCGATTTCATTAACTCAAGCTTACCACAAACATTTATGACAACATATAATGATCATATATGGTTCCAAACGGAATTATATGACCCCGAGATGTATATCCTAAAATCTAAAGATTTATCGACACCGAGTCTCGAAACCTCCAAAATTTCTCAAAAAGCGTGGATATTAGCCTTCAATTTTGGAATATTCGCCCGAAAATAAAATTTGCCAAAATTTTTACCATGGTCCCTAATACCCTCCGGGAATCCAATTGGGTGGGTGAAATCATCCTATTTGCCTTTAAACAGCCAATTTACCGGTTTACAACTTGCACTTATTTCATCAATTCAAGTCTACCACGAACACTAATGACTACTTAAAATTGTAATTTATGGTTTCAAACGCCATTAAATGACCCTGCGATGTATCTAATAAAATCTACTCCCTTCGTCCCAAAATTACATTCCTCTTTCTACCATTTATTCCTCACATAATAGAGAGAAAGAGAAATTTAATTTAGGGACGGAGGGAGTAATTTCTTTTCGACACCTGGCCCCGAAATTTTGGAAGTTTTTGATTTTTTTTCGTCCGAAAATAAAAATTACCGAATTTTTTGCCATGGTCCCTAATTCCCTCTGGGAGTCCAATTGGGTGGGTGTATACATCCTATTTGCCTTTAGATGGCCAATTTATAGGTTTACAACTTGCACCGATTTCATTAAATCAAGCCTATCACGAATATTTATGACAACATATAATGATCATAAATGGTTCCAAACGGCATTATATGACCCTAAGATGTATCACCTAAAATTTCAAGACTTTTCAACACAAGGCCTCGAAACCTCCAAAATTTCTCAAAAAGCATGGATCTTAGCCTTCAATTTTGGAATTTTTGAATTTTTTTCGCTCGAAAATAAAAAATGCCGAAATGTTTACCATGGTCCTTAATTAATTCCCTCTAGGAGTCCAATTAGGTGGGTGGAATCATCCAATTTGCCTTTAAACGACCAATTTACCGGTTTACAACTTGCACCCAATTCATTAACTCAACCCTACCGCTAACATCTATGACAACATATAATGATCATATATGGTTTCAAACGGCATTATATGACCCCCAGATGTATTTCCTAAATTCCCAAGACTTTGCGACATCGTGCCTCGAAACTTCCAAAATTTCTCAAAATGCGTGGATATTAGTCTTCAATTTTGGAAATTTTTGAATTTTTTTTGCCAGAAAATAACAATTACCGAAATGTTTACCATGATCCTTAATAGCCTCCGGTAGTCCAATTGGGTGGGTGAAATCATCCAATTTGCCTTTAAACGGCCAATTTACCGGTTTACAACTTGCACCGATTTCATTAACTCAAGCTTACCATGAACATTTATGATAACAAATAGTGATCATATGGTTCCAAACGACATTATATGACCCCAAGATTTATTCCCTAGAATCTCAAAGCTTTTCGATACCGGGCCCCAAACCTCCAAAATTTCTGAAAAAGCGTGGATATTAGTATTTAATTTTGGAATTTTTAGAATTTTTAGAATTTTTTCGCCCGAAAATAATAATTGTCGAAATGTTTACCATGATCCTTAATACTCTTCGGGAGTCCAATTTGGGTTAGTGAAAACATTCAATTTGCCTTTGTTTACCAGTTTATAACTTGCACCGATTTTACTAACTCAAGTTTACCACGAACATTTATGACAACAAATAATGATCATATATGGTTCCAAACGGTATTAAATGACCCCAAGGTGGATCCCCTAGAATTTCAAGTCGTTTCGACACCGAGCCTCAAAACCTCCAAAATTTCTCAAAAAACGTGGATATTAGTCTTCAATTTTGGAATTTTTCGAATTTTTTTTTGCCCGAATACCCTCCGGGGGTCCAATTGGGTTGGTGGAACCATCCAATTTGCCTTTAAACGACCAATTTTATTACCGGTTTACAACTTGCAAGGATTTCATTAACTCAAGCCTATTACAAATATTAATGACAACATATATTGATTATATATGGTTTCAAACCCGGCTCGAATTCGAGAATGACCCGACCTCATTCTAACCCGCAAATTATTGACTGGAACCGAACCCGACTTGAACCCGAAGTTTACACTTGAACGCTGCTGATCATTGACTTAACTTAGATCTAACGGTTGACATATTATAGGAGTATTTTTAATCTTCGTTTTCATTTTTCCCCTTTGAAGCTTTACACTTGAACGCTGCACTTGATTCTCTCTCCTCCATTGAAGCGTACTCTGAACTTCTCTCTTCCATTGAAGCAGCTTCTGAGGTAATAGATTTATCTTCCATTACAATTCTCGAATTTCAATGTTAGAATCTAGGGTTTTAATTGCACTATCGTTAAATTAATTGATAGTATAATTAATTTAGGGTTCTTCTAAGGTGGAGTATTGAACTATTGGATGTAATTACTGAAAGCTCATAATGAGTAATTTTGTTGCTTGAGCAATTTACGCTGATTGAGTGAGGAATTTTATGAGTCTTAATCTCTTGATTGCGTCAATTTGGTTGCTAATGTGCTGCATTTTTCTTGCCTAAAGTCGGAAAATTTTTGAGGCCATTTGAGCATATTCCTATTGCAATTAAGGCTTTGAGATTGTTGTTGAATTTTTTGGAAGTTTTTGGTGGAATGTAATGTCAATATGTCATCCTCTCCTTGAAAAAAGGGTTTCAAATTTGAGTTTGACATGAGGAAAAAGTGATTATTTTGAAGCTAATGATCATTATTTAGCCAGAGACTAAACTCGGACCAAAACCGATCCCCTTTCACTAAAACAGTCATATCTTAAAATCTACAAACTATTTGAAGCTAATGATCATTATTTAGCCACAGACTTGTTTTAAGGAGCACTTGCTCCTCTATTGAGGAGTTTCACCCTCCCCTTTCCCCCAAAAAGTTCGAAAATGCTAGAGGTTTATTCTTGCCAGGTTGATTGTTAGGTTGAGCATAAGCAACTTTAGAAATCAAAGAATTTGATTAATAAAAAAAGAGTGAGGTATGGAAGTTGAGCTTATGTAGTTCATGTTTTATAAGTTACTTTTTATTTCTTTTTTCTTTTTGATTGATCTTAGTTTCTATTGGGTTATAGCGGGTTATTCCAAAAGAATTTTCTTAGGAGATTTACGATGAACTAATCATGGAACCCAGTTTTATAAAATTCATATCGGTAGAAATTCAACTTTAGTAGACTACTTCTTGCTACTTGTGTAGAGAAGATGCACTCATTGTACCAACATGTGTTCTTATTTATATGAATAAACAGTGAAGGCTGCAATTTGTAACTTGTTACATGTTTGTACTCTACCTGCTTAAAGCAGCATAACTTTTGATATACTCTCTCTGTGAAAAGACCTTGTCAGAAATCTAAGAGTAAGAAAAGTGAGTGAGTGTTAAATTTATGTCATATAGGAAATGATTCTTTTTTACAAATGATCAAGGGGAGAGTGGCTTTTATCTCCGTGGAAGAAAACGGATTATTCTGTGATAGTCATATTTGATCTTTAAGGATTATTCTGTGATAATCATAGTACTCCGGGCTTTTGAGTTGTCTCCTTGTGTTATTAGTTCTTTCTCTAGATATAATGATGTAGTTGTGCTCCTTTTGTACATTAGATGACTAAAGTTTAGGGCTTGGCACCAGTATTGTCATTCATATTGTGTAATGCTAGTGGTCAGTCCATTGTGTCGTGGTCGACTTTATGTGTTATCAGGATCAAGATGCTGTATTTTCTATTGCGTTTTTTTCTTGCTAAATTTTTGGGGACAGTCCTGTGATCTTAGTAAAACCATATTTGAGTTGATGTTGATGTACGTAATGGTTGGTCTATAAACTAAGAATTCTTGCTTGGTTTAGAAACAGTTGGAGTACAGGACTGCAATAAGTTAGAATTTATAGAATTATCCTTGTAATGTGATTTTGGACATATTTTTAAGTTCTTGTTAGGGTATTTTCATCACTTCTGATGGTAGTTGTTTGTGAAATAATTTGATTATGGCCATTAATATTTTGCCTGAAAAACTTGTGATGGCCGGTACCAGTAGTGAGCTAGACATATCAATAAGTTCATGCTCGTATTTTTCTTATTGATGTGATTTATGTCACTGTCCCCTACTAATCATTTACTTCTTCCTATTTCAATGATCAACATATTGTAAAACACTTGTAATATACATATTTGATGGTAATCCTTTATTATCTTTTGTGAGGTAGATCATCAAAAGTGATGGCAAGCAAGGCTGTGAAAACTGTGGCAAAAGCAGCTACTGAATACCAATATCCTTGGCAGGAGAAGCTAGTAAAGTATAGAGACGAGCTTTCCAAAGGAGTTTGGGGTTATTGGGAACTTGGGGCATGGAAGCCTTTGGGAATTAGTGCTCGTCGCCGTGCTAGGATCCGCAAAGAAGTCTTACTTGCCGAACAAGACTGGCCTTATGACCCCGCAAGGAAAGAGATGAGAACTAAGAGGAAAGGACACAAGGTTGACAGAATAGCAGCAGAGAAACGTGCAAATACTGCAGAATTGATGAAGAAGATGCCACAAATGTTACTGGACTACAAGAAACGTAGATGGGAGAAAAAGATGAAGGATGAGGAATCCAAGAAGTAGGTTTTGATCCTGAAGTATTAACTTCTTTCATCTTAAGATTTCTCACTTTCCTTTAGCAAGCAGAAGAAGTACCATTTGTCTTAGTTTTGGGATTCAGGCGTGGTTAGTGACTGCAACCGTGTTTCTCCCCATAAAGATTTTGAAATAGAGCAATATGTTCTCTTGATAATCGTATTGCTTCCTTTTTTATGTACATCAGCTTTATAAGCCACTCGCCCACTTCTTTTTTTTCTAAAGAGTGTTTTTGTTAGAACTTATATGGTTCCCACATTGCTTTCACAAAACATGCTAAACCATGTGAAAAAGCGAAAAAGCTTAAGTGACACAGTCCTTGTATGTACAATTCAATTCATATTTATCTAAATACATACATGCCTATCAGCTAACATGTTAGTGGCCACTTAGTGCTAACAGTTAGGGTTACTAGGGTATGTTCTGCAATAGTTTTGAACTAGCATTTCAAGCAATTTAGCCCCAAACCAAATACTATGGAGTATTATAGCTGATTAGCTGTTGTACTGTTTGGCAAGGCAAAAGTTCAGCATATAACAATTATAGAATGAAATAAGTAGCTTTCATAAAAAATTATGTAACGTTCAAGTACTATATGCTACCATATTTGTCAAACGTGCACAAATTTTAGAAAATTGTAAACTTAGAACTTCGACTACCATATCATTTTGCATTAGGAATTTTGCACAAGATGCAAATTCAGCCCAATTAATAAAGAAAAAAATGCTGGGTTATGGCAACAAAACTTTCCAAAGAGTATTTCCAAGACATAACAGCGTAAATAAACTAAAATCTGCTCACAAATTTACACATAAAAGCTTCCATAGTCAAAACTGAGAGTATGTTGTACAATACTGTATCCAAAAGAATGCGTCTCCACACACCACTACACCACGTCTAAATACAAGTTAAATGTTAATGTAACAATCAATATGTCAACTATGCTAGTCTGAGGAGTCTCCTGGCGTTTATCATTGAAAGTAAAGACCTAACTCAAAAGTACAGATTTAAACCAGGGAAATGTTAACGATAAAAGTTTATGCATGGCTTGAATGTGATCCGGTTTGCTTGCTCTTCAAAGTAAAAGTTGTCGGTCATATTTAAACCAATAGATACACTGACAAGAAGCGCAAGAGTATGCATGCGGCAAACTTTATCTCTTTCACTGCGGCAATCTGCAAGAGGGGAAATCAAAGTTTCTCAATTGTGCATGCACAAAATAGCATAATCATGCAAAGGAAAGTCAAATACAGTTTACGGGTGCAAATTCATTTACATTATTTTATAAATATTTATAATCATAATGTAATTTAAATTATCTACATCAATTAAGAGCTTTTTAAAAATTCCAATCATCAACCGCTACTGTTTTATAGAAGATGGAACTTTTTCCAGACATTCATAATAATATGAACTTATCAAGTTTGGAAAACGATAATATAAAATTAACTCCAGAATAATCACTCAATAAACATTGAATTAGCTAATTCATATACACATTATTGGGAAACATTAGTGAACTACTTTAGTCATGTAACTTTTACAGAAGGCAAGCACACCTTAAAGCATAAAGTAGTAGGCAGATGATAAAAGAGTGATGAGGATGAACATTTACACTGACTGCTCAGCACCAGCTTGTTGTGTCAACTGAGAATATATGTATTCATCAACTCTCTGTTTTGCCAACGCTACTTGAAGAGGGATACAACACCAGCAACAAAGCCTTAGTCCCAAAATGATTTGGGGTTGAAGAGTAATATAACAATTAAAAGCAAGCCACCCAAAATCAAAAAGAAATAGAGAAATTGGGCCAGGTTTCCCGAGGGAGGACGCCTTCTCTCAGGGCAGCAGTCAACTAGAATTAGAAGACTGCTCTATGAGGGCTTCCCTCTTTCCTGGGCTCTTCTCGCCCGTCTACGCCCCGACCCAGTAGAGCAGGAAATCCAAGTTCACCATCGCCTAGTTCAAAAATACGTGATATTACCCCTATCACATATTGCTTGATAAACTGAGTGTATTATGTGGTACGTCCTTCGATAATTATAAACAATAATGCAAGTATAATATCAGCAGTCCACTATCTCCAATTCCAGATTAAGAAGGGCAATGGTGAGTCTCTAAGGCTGTCCATCTAGAAAGTATTTTAAAAAGCCCAAGGAATGAAAATTGAAGAAGCAAAAGAACAAAATTACCTGCTGAGCTGAGCCAATAAGCTGGAGCTGCCTATGTTTCTGCTCACCTTTTCCCCCAAATACCTGAGAGTTAAAACAGAACGAGCATCATGTCAGACAAGTTAATGAGATGACATGGTGGTGGATCTGTCTATTTTTCTGTTCACCTTTTCCCCCAAGGCATCATACATTGAAAAAGTTCAATACAAAGAAGAATAATGAGATGACATGGTGGATAATTATAATGAGAAAATATTCAAGACGGAAGTTATCATAAGAAAATGAACAGAATATACAGGCATTTACATCGAGGTAAATTTTCTTGTAGTAGAACATCCTTCAGACCTTGACATGTAATAGACCGATACAAATCTCAATTCTTCCAGAGTGTTTCTTTCTCCATTCCTTAGTAAGTGTGAGGTGTCTTTTATGGTTATGCATAGTTATTGAAGTGTACTATATATAGCATAAATTTTAAAACTAACAACTTAAAATCAGAGGTAAATTAAACGGATGAACAACATCATATTTAAACATATTATAGAATAAAATGTGAAAGTCAAGCTTTTGCAAGTTAATACCGAGTGCCTTGATGAGCATAATCACGGTTTCACGGTGGGGGTTCATTGGTTCAGTTGTTTGGCCTTAAAGCTTTGTGCTGTGGTCTTTAGACTAGTATTTTTCTCCCTTATATATAACAAATAGTCCAAGGGTAAGAAGGATATATACAAAGACTGCAAGACATAAGTGATTTTTCACAAGTTACAGAATAAAGGGATATGGAATGACACTGAGCATATCATTCAACATTAAATTTGCATAAGTAATTTTGTAAAGATGTAATCATTAGTTAATTATAAAAAAATATAACTACTGTCTACCATTACAAATAGTGCTTAGTATAGAATCACAACATTGATCACTAGGGAGCACACCTTAATCATAGCACCAGATTCAGTTCTAATCCTTGATATGTTGGAACCAGCTCTGCCAATCAAGCCACCCACCATTGTTTCCGAGATCACCATATCCAATGTCACATATTCAGCTACAAAATATACCAGTCAGGATGATTTTATTGTAAGAAAAACTTAAGAATTAACATGAGAATAAAACAGCTGTGAAGTAAATGCTTATAAAAGCAGATTTACCAGCATTTGGGTCCATATAATTCTGAGCTGCTCGAGCAATGCTCAAGTTGTATGTTGGGCTGATTGAAATTACTTGCTTGGGTGGGTTTTGCCTGATCATAGACAAAATATGAAACAGAGAAGGGTGCAGATAATGGAACCCAGGCTAGTGAGTCCAGAGCATATTTACCTAAGTTCAACACCAATCTCCTCCACGGCTTTCATTACAGCAGAAACTTCACCTGATATCTGATACCGTCATTAACAATGATCATTTCTCGGAATAAAGAGCAAGCACTAAGCATGAGATGGAGTTCTCAAGAATCCCAGTTCCCCACCCAACCACAGAAGCATATTATTGTCACAACTAGATGGTGAAAGCATCTCATCATGCTGAGATGCCAATAAAAATATCAACATGAATGAAGATAAATAAGCTAGTTCAGATAATGTACATAAGGGTTCAAACTTTAGCTATTTTGTTTCACTTCATTGGTCTACATATTGTTATTGTTCTCATTTTGGTCCAAGGATTGGTTCACAAGTACATACTTTGCACCTTCACACCACAGAGGCACGGATCATAACAATTCAAAACTATCATTTTCTTTCCTCTTTGGACTACAAGTAATCAGCATTATAGACAATTCAGATTTCACACATGAGGAAGAGAGCATAAAAAAGGATTAATTTGATCAATTAGTGAATTATGTGCATATACTGCTGTTTCTCCAGCAGTCTAGCTACACTTAACATGTGGTGATACTACACTTCCATTAATGTCTCTGCTTTTGGCACTTTATTTCTTCCACTAATTACTCACAATTGGTTAGGTATGGCTCTTTATATCTACATCTCCTCAAATCATAGGTAGTTGAATCCGTATATGGTGGTGACATATAATACGGAACTCTGAAATTAATAGAAGTGCCTATTTGTTATTTTAATGCAGGTGAATGTATAGACCTTTTTCCGACGTTCACACATTGAGTCTAAAACCTTCATAGCTTAGTTACTGCTAATGCTTTAATCCACACTTTATTATAGGCTTAGAAGCAATATATGTTTTCCTTTTACAATCCATAGATAACAAGAAAGGGGTAGCAAGATTGCCCCAACCTTCTGACCAATTACTGAGCTCATAAGTCTCAGCATATCAAAATCCGTAATTTGCTTCCCCATCCATGTGTAAACAGTAAAGCTAGAGGAATAATAGGGTAGAAAAAAGAGTTGGCAATAAACATAAGAGATATCTGATCCATACTCAAAGCCAGACTGACGCAAATGAGAACAGTCAAGGAAAGCCTCCCAGATAACCTGTATTTCCTTTTTCCTCTTTCCTGGTGCAAACCTACCAATCATTAATTTACATACTTGTCAGTGCCACACAAAGGGCAGGCGAGGGGAAGTGTGCAAAAGGTAACTGCATTAAAGATTGGGAAGGAGAGGACGGGAAGGAGGGAAAGGGAGGGGCTGGAGGGAGGAAGAGGGAAAGGGGAAAGGGAAGGGAAGGCGGGAAAAGGGAGGGGACGGGAAGGAAGAAGGGGCAGGGAAATAAAGGAAAGAGTGCAGGGAGGGAGAGGGAGGGGACTTAGTTGGATTGAAAGGATTGACAACAAAATTTTCAAACTTCTTGAGAGGACCGAATGCCCACTAGTAGAGCTACCAGAAAATAACACTTAAAACTACTGTCTTCTATCTCCTGTACTAGTTAGTCAGAAATCAATTAGAGACATCCATGATGTCAACATATGTTTTAGTTCTCATTGCACAAACTCCAAACTCAACTAACCACAACAAAATTAATTAGCACATATAAAATTTTATACAAGTAAGCTATCTGACTTAGATCCTATTCCTATACGTGGTCATAGACTAGTAGCATGTTCTACATTGAAACAAAACAAAACTGGCATATAATATTATACAGACTCTAAAATACCCACTAAGAAAGGATAATGTTACATCTACAAGGAGTTGAGTTCCAAAACAAACCCACAATAATAATACATTTTCTAATTGGTCGGTTACAGTTCTAATGAGTAATGTTTATGTGGATTGCATGTATTTGCC